ATCATTCCAGAGGTGAATCCCTCCCTTAGGTCCCAGGGGAGTTTAGCAAAGAAGAAAGGATTTGCCTAGATTCAGGAATTTACTGACCCAACTTCAACTATACCATTTGTACTTTGACTGTGGCACCAACTGAAACCTATACAGTTGATAAATGATCAATGTTTCTTACATAATGGGAAGGAGCTCTGGTAGCGTAGTGGTTACGAATCGGGCTGCGAACAGCAAGGTCAGCATTTCAAAACTACCAGCTGCTCTGCAGGGGAAAGAGGAGGCTTTCTGCTCCCATAAAGATTTACAACCTCGGAAACCCTGTTGAGGGTTGCTATGGGTCGGAACCGACTCGACAGTACTTAACAACAACAAGAAGCACATTCTACCAAGGGGATCAACAGACACTAGAACCTGTAGCTGGAATCACATTTTTGGGAATCATGATGGGCTTTGAACATATACTGGGTGAATTTCAAAGAAGTACTAATGTGCAGAGTCGGGCTGAATATGGTACAGAGAACAGTTCGAAGGACATTCATTAGGCCTCTGAAGACTGGTGGTGGATGGCACAATCACATACATCATTGCTCACATATCTGTGCTTTGAGAAGTTTAATCAAGCAAAAATATGTAAAATGAACGAGAACAAGGAGTCTGGCCAAGAGAAGAGCAAGTGTTAGAGCTTACAACAGCAGAGACAGACACATGACATGCCGTAGTTCTGTGTTTATAAAAAATCTTCAAATGAGATTACGATTAAAGTCAGAGAAGCCTCCTATAACAGGACTGAAAGATGTCCACCCTGTGCCTTCAAATTTGACTTCCACACTCAATATTATACAGAAAAATGATAATGTTTTACGCATCTTATAATTACCTTGTAAACAGCAGTACTGCAAGCACTTGTGTGTGTGTTAAAAACAATGATTTCAGAAATTACAGGTAGACTGAATGTTCATATTCCTGTTTTGAAATTCTTGCTTAATAAATGGGCTCCTCAAAGATGGAAGGGGCTCAAGTCTCTCTCAGTTCTGAGTTCATTCGCCAGTAACCAGAGTTTAAGATTCGGGAGTGGACAGGGAAAGCAAAGGAAGTGATGGCCTGAAGCAATACGGCATGGGCAGGTGGGAGACGGTCTGACAGCTACTTGAGGGTAAGAGTCAAGAACGATTCCACAGTTTCCAGTCTAGGTCATCAGGAGGAGGTGGCTGCTATTAATAGAAAGAAAAGCCAAAAGAGGAAGTACGTGGGAGGGATCACAAGATGAATTTCACATTGAGTTATCAATTATTTTCAATATTAAATGAGCCCAAGTAACACCAGCAGGAAGACAACAAAGATCGTCGGTCCAAACCCTGCATCAGACCATGGAAACCCAAGCCATCAAGACAAGTACCTGTGTAGTTCTTAGGAAAATCACAATTCTTTTAGATCCCTGAAAGTTTCCTTTAAAACTTCCCTCTGAGTCTGGTTCATAGCAAGCATCATATACATGTCACTGATCCCTCAACCTGAAGGTCCTTTCAGAAGAGAGGAAGAAGATGAGTTTCTAATGCTATGACTGGATTTAGCTTAATGGTTTTCAGAGGCTGTTATTCGAACAGAACAAGGGAACGCTGAATGGTTTAAAATTAGGAAAGGTGTGTGCCAGGGTTGTATTCTTTCACCATACTTATTCTATCTGTGCTGAGCAAATAATCTGAGAAGCTGGACTATATGAAGAAGAACATGGAATCAGGATTGGAAGAAGACTCATTAAACACCTGCAATATGCAGATGATACAATATTGCTTGTGGGAAGTGAAGAGGACTTAAAATACTTACTGATGAAGGCCAAAGACCACAGCTTTTAGTAGGGGCTGTATCTCAATGTAAAGAAAATAAAAATCCTCACAACTGGACCAGTAAATAAATGGAGGAAAGATTGAAGTTGTCAAAGACTTCATTTTGCTCGGCTACACTGTCAACACTCCTGGAAACAGCAGTCAAGAAATCAAATGATGCATTACATTAGGCAAATCCACTACACAAGACCTCATTCAAGTATTCAGGAGCAAATAAATATGAATTTGAGGACTAAGGTACACTTGACCCAAGCAATGGTATTTTCAAATAGGTATTTCCACAATATGCACGTGAAAGTTGAACAATGAATAAAGAAGAATTGATGCATTTGAGTTATGGAGTTGGGGAAGACTACTAAAACTAGCACGGACTGCCAGAAGAACACATAAATCTGTCTTGGAAGAACTACGGTCAGAGTGTTTCTTAGAAGCCACAAAAAAGAAGAAACTCGCCAATGAGATGGACTGACACAGTGGCAGCAGCAGTGTAGTCAAGCACAATCATAGTCATGAGGATGGACAGGACTGGGTAGTGTTTCATTCTGTTGTGCATAGTGTCACTATGAGTCAGAACCAACCCGATGGTACCTAACAGCAACACTTTCAGTCTATGGTCCCCATTTTAGAGACCAAGAATATATTCATTTCCCTTCATACTCCTGATTTTAAAATATATATATAGTCCATAGCACCAGAGAATGATAACAATGAAAGAGGAACTTTGATATTATCCAGCCAACATACTTCTTTTCCTATACGGAAGTATCAGAAGCCCAGAGAAATGTAAGCACACAATAGTGAGGGCAGGCCCAGGTCTAGAACTGAAATTTTCTCATTTTCTCCTACTCCTGGGAGCAAATTACAAATCATGCTCACTTTCCTCATATTCTAACACAAAGCAGCTTTACAAAAATCAGTGGCGATACCCTGCCTGGAGGAATGCAGAGCCTTTGTTCTCGGTGCTTTGTGGAAATGGATACAGGAAAAGAAATAGAGACATATCCTCTCACCATGTTTTTACTGGGATCACAAGCTTCTCTTAAAATCCTATTAATCAAGCAACCACGTTTAAGAAAAATAATATGTGGTTTTCTCTATGGTGGTGTTGTCAAGTACTATCAAGTCAGTTCCAACTCAGAACGACCCACAAGGAGTGACTGGTGGGTTTGAACTACCAACCTTTCAGTTACAGTCCAGTGCTTAGCCTACAGTACCACACCAGCACCTAATCTTCTCTATGTTGTTAAATGTGTCCAATTGGTTCCCACTCATATCGACTCTGCATAGAGTTTCCAAGGAACAGCTGGTGAGCTTGAACTACCAACCTTGTGGTTCAAATCCATCTTTCAGTCTAGCGCATTAACCCCCAGCACCACACCAGGACTTCGTATGGGATATGAAATGGGTATATAGAGGTTAGTCTTTTAAAAAACAACAAAAAGGGAACCACCCAGGCATAAAAGGCCTTTTTACGTTTTACACGGAAGAAAAGCCAGAAGCCCTCACTGCAACTCACCACTCATATGATAACATGTTATAAGAGAAATCTTAATGCACATATTTGCAAGACTTAGAAATTTAATTTCAAAACTCCATTGGCTCTCTTGGTCACTTAAGCAGTATTAAAAACCCTATTAAATATAGAATTCATAGGATAATTTTAAAAAATAGTTATATCTGCTAAAACTCAAATGAGAGGATGATATAGATGATACACAGAGCTGGAGGATGGGCTCTAGCTCACAGTCACACAGACAGTTTATAACTTTGCTTTGAATAATAATTTGGGGGGTAATGGGGTAAAAGAGGACCCTTAGAAAGTTCATATGCTCATCTATGATTTTAACTGAGGAACAGGTAGTTAGCCAATTACCTTAGCTCTCAATCTTAATTTCCCATTTGAAGTTTCTAGAAATTTTCCTTTAAAAGTTTCTTTACAATAAACTATGTCTAGAGAGATGTTTAATAACTCCTAGTAGCCTGTCTAGAAATTCCAGACTCTGCATTAGAAACTGCAATTTGTTTGAAATGTACAATGAGAAGGAAAAACAAAAGAAAAAAGATGTAGGAATGAAACCTGTGATGGCCAGAACTCAAGGGGACTGACCGCTTTGTTGTTCCGACTGCAATCACCACTTCCCTGTCGCTTTCTGTTTAGTGGGAAACATCAGAGTTTCCTTCTCTTACAACTCGCCACCTTCCACAGGTTCCAGCTTCCACAGATTTTACTCTCTCTCTCTCTCTCTGTGTGTGTGTGTGTGTGTGTGTGTGTTGCAATAAATTTCATATATTTCTAGTGAGAGTATTATCAGTACAAACACATACAAAAAGCAATTTCATAATATCTATCAAAATCACAAATATTCTGCTCCTAAAATTCTATGTATGGAAATGTACCTTATAAATAAACTTGAACACACAGAATGTTAAATACTGAACTGTATTTGTGAGAAGACTGCCCATTAATGGGATGCTTACTAAATAAACCATGATACAGCTATGTAATGGAATGCTATGTATCTGCAGAAATGAATGATGAGCATTCTACATTTTATATAAAATGACCTCCAAGACATTCAGTGAAAAAAAAAAAACACAACAAGTTATAAAACAGAGTACATTACAGGCCAAGTTGTGTATAGAAAGGGAGGGAAGGGGAAATAAGAATCTATGTATACATACACAAATTTTGGAAGGATACGTAAGAAATTAAGGAGACTGAGATATGATAAGGGAGGGAGGTATTTCACTGTGTTATCTTTCTATTCTCTTTGCTGAATTATGCAAATGCATTACCTATTTTTTAAATTGAACATATTTTCAAACAGCAAAAGCTATCTACTTTATATTCAAAATATTTCACTGAATAAGATACTTCCTTTTAAAAAAAGGAAGTTTTAGCATAATGTCAAACAATCTGAGCTTTGAATCAGTAAGCAAAATAAGAAACTAAGCAAGTCTTGTTATTACTTCTTTAAAGAAGAAGTATTTTTATATGTCTTATGTAAATGGAGGACATTTAGTACTTTAATCTAAATATAATACCATTTCAATGTTTCCAAGTTTAATGTGAACTTGGGGACTACCATAAAAACTAACTGAATACCAACAATTCATTTACTTTTAAGAGCTTTCCTATCTCCCCCGCCCAGAAAACACCCATACCTTTGTCAGAACTATTCTTCTTCCCATGGGGGATTCGGTGAAGACAAAGAATATATCCATCCTCAGTCTCGACAAAATGTTCTTCAACTGGGAATCCCCAGTAAGAGATAATTTCACTCTGTGTAAATGAACAACAGTGGAAATTCTATGACCAGCATCTGACAACATCTCCCAAATTAACACACACGAGAGAAAGCAAAATGCCAATGTTATTCTCCATACTTTAAGAAATCAATAGTATTACTGAAATTTTAGTCTGTTGAATCTAGTAGTCAACACCCATTACAACCTCCACTTGTTTTACCCAACTGATATTCTACCCACAGATGTTTTATCATTCTCGCATGTGTTCCACCAGGCTTCCCTAATTTTATCATCACTTGAGGCCTCTTTGTTTCCACCTTGCTTTTCAAAAACAAACATTCATTTCTTTCTTTTCTAAATAGTCAAGTTTATACTATGATCTACCACATTCTTTGCTTATGAAGTCCATTGGCGGCACAATCAAATACTAACCAGAGGTTAGATTCCACCAAGGAGCACTGCAGAAGAAAGGCGTGGTGATCTACTTTTGATGAATGTTATTGTTATTGTTGTTACGTGCCGCTGATTCAGTTCTGACTCATAACAATCCTATATAGGATTTCCAAGGAGCAGCTGGTGAGTTTGAACTACTGACCTAGCCATTCAAACTGACCTTGCAGACGAGAGCTTATCATACAGAGCCAGACCAGGCCTCTGATGCCTAGTGACTCCATATATTACAAGTTAGAACTACTCCACAGTGTTTTCTTGACTGTAAACTTTACGGAGGAAGATTTCCAGAATTGTTGTCTGTGATGTCACTGGGTAGATTCAAAGTACCAGCTTTACGTGAATTGTTGTTGTTGTCAAGTGCTGTCATGTCAGTTCCAACTCAGAGCAACCTTGTGTAGGGTTTCTGAGAAGCAACTGTTGGGTTTGAACCATCAACTTTGTGGTTAGTAGTCCAGTGTTTATCCTACAGCACACACAGTAAGATTGCAGCCACCGAAACCCTACAAAGTGCAGTCCTACTTTTAAACATATGGTGTTGCCATGAATCAAAATTAGTTCAACATCAATGAGTTTGTTTTTAGTTTGGGGGGAAACGAAACATAAAAAATAATAATCAGTGTTTTCAGTGGACTAACAAAACTACACTAGGATATCAAGGTTGAGTGTTCTTAATCAAGAGTTCTGTGGGATATGGATAATAGAATTTTCCAGAAGACTTAATGTAAGTAAGTGTTCACTGTCTTCCCTAGCAGAAATACTTGAAAGGGTTTAACTTTTTATTCTTACTGAAGGGTTTTTTGGTTTGTTTTTTTTAAATAGGGAAAGGAAGAAGATAAAAGAAAATATTTGGGGTGGGGAAAAAAACAAAAACTTAACTATAAGATCCTGATATCAATTCTCAATTACTCATTACATCATTTTCAGTTTTTCTTCCTTTAAATAATCTATATTTTCCCATATTATATGCTAATATAAGGAATTTCCAAATTGTGTTTACTTAAAATTATTAACTTTGAAATGTTTTAATTAACAAGAGGTTATTTTACTTATTTGTTCTCATGGTTATTTTTTTCAGATCCTTTGATTTTTATGTAGGCCTGTGTTCCCTTGACAATCTTAGTCCCTATCCTTCCTCAATGTAGTCTGAAATCATCACTTAGTAGTAACACTCTTGCATTTTAAAACAAATTCACTGTGACTAACAATGAAATGAATTAATAAAATGTCCTATTAAGTGTATAGTTTTGGCAGTAAAATCAGGTTTGTAAAATGCACATTAAGCTTGTTGTTGTTTTTGTTAAGTACCGTGGAGTTGGTTCCGACTCATAGTGACCCTGCACAGGGTTCCAAGGTTGTAAATCTTTACAGGAGCAAAACGCCTCATCTTTCTCCCGAGGAACCGCTGGTGGTTTTGAACTGCTGACCTTGAGGTTGGCAGCCCGACTCATAACCACTACGCTACCAGAGCTCCTTGCACATTAAGATAGCTCCTGTCTAATCAATTCCAACCCATGGCAAGCCCCTGTGGGTCAGGGTAGAGCTATGTTCTCTAAGGTTTTCAATGGCTGATTTGTCACAAGCAGATCACCAGGCCTTTCCTCTTAGGTGCCTCTGGGTACACTCCAGCCTACAATTTTCCAGTTAGCATTTAAACGTGTTAATCATTTGCAACAATCAAGGATTTCTAAAATACACATTTCCTGGTAGGATAAGTCTAGCAAATGGAATCTAAGGTTTAGGGAAAGTGAAAAGCACATAGGATGGAAAGACACGAGAGTTTATGATTGACTTGGGGTCACATAGCTGAATTTAAGAAGATCATTAACATTGTCACAGGTGCATTTGAAAAGTATATGACTCTGAGAAACTTACCACATTCATGTATACTTCAGGATTCACAGGTGTCTGCTTCCCTCTGGGCCTCTCCGAATGTACAGTCTCCAGAACCAAACAGACCACCAACCCCAAGATCCACATCTTCATTCTGTATAAAACAGTTGGTCCACTATTAACTGCCCAACTTTTACCACTCAAAACTAAGCTGTCAGACTATAGCTCCCATGAAAAGCTCTGAACCATGTTTGTTGTTGTTAAATGCTGTAGAGTTGGTTCTGACTCATAGCAACCCTATATAGGATTTCTGAGGAGTAGCTGGTGGGTTTGAATTGCCAACCTTGCAGCTCAAACTGACCTTGTGGTCCAGCACATTATCTTGCAGAGCCACAGAAAAAGTAGGTGACAGACAATGAACCAAATGACTCCTGTCACATCCAGAAGCAAAAAAATAAAATAAAAAAAAAAAAACTAGGAACCATCTCTCCCCCACCCTCAATAAATATGTGACCTTTGCAACACTGCATACCCACCCACTTCCCCACCACAAGGCGAAACAAATCCATTCCTGGAGAAATGACAGAATTTCAGGAGGGCTCACAGGATAAGCAAAAGGGAAAGTCCACAAACTTCCAAAGTCTGTTAAGCTTCCACCTCCTCTTCCTCTCAACTTGCAATTTAAACATTACAAAAATACAAGTTATTGGGTTCAGGTCAATCATGGTGGCCTCATGTGTGTCAGTATAGAAATGTTCTCCACAGGGTTCCCATTGGCTGAGTTTTCTGAAGCAGATTGGCAGCACTATTTTCCAAGGTGCCGCTAGGTAGATCAGCAAGTCTGTACCACCCAGGGACTTCAATCATTAGGAGCTCTTGCCTCACACATGTACTCACACAATGTTTTGCCCCAGATTTCACATCAAGATTCAAACATGTCACCCAATGGGGAAAAAAAGAAAACCAAACATGAAAGAAAACAAAACCTGATAAAAAAAAATCAGGGAAAACCATTCCCTTTGACCTCTGAAACCTCCCAACCATTAACAAAAAACACCCAGTTACTGGCAGGGATGGCTCAGAATCACAAATATGTCATTGTAGAAGACCTTGGCAGAGTGGTCCAATGACCTCATGTTAAAGGCTAAGTGAAATGTCTTCCCCAACAACACCTAAAGAGTTTATGGTAAAACTGGAACTGTAGCCCAAACCACTTCCTTTTTTTTTTTTCCTAATAAATCAAGTCATTTATGAAGATGCATGTATGTATGCCAATACAAAGACTTGTACAAAAATGCTCACAGCAGTTTTGTTTGTACTGGTAAAAACCTGATAAGTTCAAATGTGTAAAATGGTAAACAAATGGTGGTGTGATACATACAATAGAATACTACTCAGCAATAAAATGGAATTAACACATAAACAGCACAGATGATTCTCAAAATAATTATGCTAAGTGAAATATGCCAGATCACAAGAAAAAAAAAAAAATACTGGATAATGTCACCTATAGGAAACTATATAAAATGCAACCTAATCTATACTGACAGAAAGCAAATAATAGTTGCATTGGGAAAGGAGGGGAGGGGAAATAAAATTACTAAGGGGCCTGCACAAGAAACCTTTGGAGGTGATGAATGTGTTCATTATCTTGATTGTGCTAAAGAGTCCACAGGTGTATGGATATGCCAAAACTGATAAACTTGTATATTTTAAATATGACTTGCTATATTGTATGTCAAAAGTTCCTGGGTGGCAACTGAAAAGACATGCAGACCAATCCTGATCAGCTACAGGAATAATAGATACTTCTTGATAGACCAACAGAAGGAGAAGGGAAAAAAGCAGACTGGCTGTGACAATATCAAGTAAGCTGTTTGCCCTGGAGCCATCAAGGCAAGAAAAGTCAGCCCATCAGGGTAAATCTCTTCATTTATTTATTTAAGTTTTTACTATGAATTGAGTGATAGTTGACATGGGAGAACATAGATTTTACACTCATTGTTTCATTGCAATGATTACAATCCCCTCCGTGCATCATCACTCAACAGTATTTGCTTCTATTCCCTCTGGTTTGTTTTGTTTTGTTTTTTGGACGTAAACAATAACACTCAGGAATATATAATCATTTAAATAACCCAAGGACACATTCTACAAGCCTGTCTCCTGGCCACTACCACACAACCTTTCTCTTTCCATGAGTCTAGAGTACTCAGCTGCTCTCTCTCTCTCCATATCATCATCTCTGCCTCCATCTCTGGTGTGGCTGCTTCTCTGGATTTGCTGTTGCTGTTAACAAGTCAGTACCAACTCATAGCAACTTTATGCACAGCAGAATGAAACACTGCCCGATCCTGGGCCAACCTCACTACTGTTGCCACGCTTGAACCCATCGATGATGCCATTGGACAATCCATCTCACTGGGGGTCTTCCTGTTTTTCTCTGATCCTCCACCTTACCAAACATGATATCCTTCTCCAGCAACTGGTCCCTCCTGACACTATGTCTGAAGTATGAGAGATGAAGCTTGGCCATCCTGGCCTCCAAGGAGCACTCTGGCTGCACTACTTCCAAAACAGATCTATTGGTTCTTTTGGCAGCCCATGGCACTTTCAGTATTCTTCTCCAACATCATAACTCAAAAGCATCATTTCTTCTATTGTCTTCCTTATTCACTGTCCAGCTAATCTCTTTCTAAGACTGAAACTCAAAGGGAACATGCAGACAGCCCTGTATGCTCCCTGGTGACCATCTGATCAACTTGGAAGGTGGGGAAATGCAGCAAAGAAGATGTGGGCTGAGACTGACCATATTCCATAGATGCACAATGACTTTGAGATGAGAACAAGAAGCAGACTGGCTAGCTGGTTTGAAGTTCAGGGAGAAGTGTGAACTCCTGAGCCCAAAGACACTCACCTAGCCAGTAGGGGCTAAAGATAAGAATGATCTTTAGCCAGCTGATCTGAAGAGGGAGTAGGTGTGCAGAACTCACAGACTCTCCGACAGTACCCACTGAACCTAGCATGGATGGATGGCTGACCAAAATTTGACCAGATGAAGATTAAGAAGTATGATACAGGGAACAAGCATAAATAGCTACAACCTGATCAACTGGACCCTTGTTTATGGATGAGGCTGCTCAAAATTCCAACTGAACAGGGAAGGAGTCTCCATATCAAGGATAAACCTTCCCTCCTCAGTACACTGGGTTGATAGGGACGGGCAACTTAGAATTTGGCTACTAAAATCGGGGGGGCTATAAAGGCACAAAATGGCTGGCTTACGAGCTTTTGTGAGGATGCCTTAGTGTCAGAATGAGGGGAACAAGACAGAAACCTTACTAAATCGTTTTCCTCAGGCCCAGATGGGTTTGGTGATGAGGAGGGATAGGATTTTATGGTTCAATTGTAATGAATTCTTTCCAAGCCTAATAGTGATTGCCAGACTATAAATGTAGAAGAGGTGCAACTGAAAGAGGGGAGCAATCAATATGACATTTCAGGAAGAGGGGACCCTAGGACCATCAAGAGGGAAGAGCTCATAACCAGAAAAGTGGCGACATCAGAAATTGTGGTGAAGGCGATGGCACAGAGAGACAGAGCAGCAGAGGACTCTAGGCCTATGGACTGAGAAAAGCACTATGCCTGTGGGCAGGAGGCTGGCTTGCAAAATGTGCCCTTTGGACATTTAAAAGAATACACATTTACAATGTGGTGTGTGTACACACACACACAAAAGTAATAAAGGTAAATGCTACTGGCTGGGAGTGAAGGGAGGGTTTGTAATCAATACAATAATTTGCTGAATTAAAAATGGGGACCTGCCCTATAAACCTTCACTCACTCAATACATAATAAAAGCTTTAAAAAAAAAAAAAAAAAAAGTCCCTGGGTGGTGCAAACAGTTAATGCACTTGGCTGCTAAATGAAAGGCTGTTCTACTCCCCAAAACTCAGCCACTGAAAACCCTACAGCTCACTTAATGTAAGTAAGTGCTCACTAACTATCTACACACAGCCCCTCTTCCTCCCTTGCTGGGAGCGATGAGGGTAGAGGACAGCTTCGATTTACTGCTTTGCTTGGCACAGACCAGTAAATAGTAGAGTAGTCTGACGAAACAGATAGCTCTCAGAAATTGCTTTCTACCTTCTCTATAGAGTAATCTTAATTTTACTTATAAATATATATATAATTTGGCAATATTCGCAGCTTTCACTATGAATTCTACAAACCTTAGGAAAAAACTGGTTTCTTTGTTTCAAACAGGACTGCTATGAGTTGCAACAAGTTTAACATTTGTCAGATGAAAAGTGTTTTGTTTATTGTAAATGTATCCATAGACATTGTGAAGGGAAGTCCCAAAATTATAAAAGAGTTTTGTACGTTTACTAGAGTCCTGGTATGACACTGAATGAAAAGCGCTGGACTGCAAGGTCAGTTTGAAACCCAAGGTGACAGTTCAACCACTATGAGTCAAAACTGACTCAACATATTATATTGCAATATGTTGTTGTCATTGTTGTATGCCATCAAGTCGGTTCTGACTCATAGACCCTGGATAGGATTGTCAAGGCTGTAAATTTTGGCATCTTTCTTCCACAGAGCAGCTGGTAGATTCAAACTTCTGGCCTTATGGTAGCAACCCAACAAGTAACTCACTATGCCACCGTGAGCACCTCTTATGCTGCAATGTAGCTGGTGGTTTGTTTTTTTTGTTTTTTTTTTTTGAGTAACTTGTGCATAAATTGATATTACACAAATTGTTTTTCAGATTAAAAGTGAATTGACTATATGCAGCACAGGGCTTTTTTGCTTACTTTTTTTTTTTAAGATTTTATTGTGAATTGAGTGATAGTTTTCATGGGAGAACATTGGTTTTATGCTTGTCATTTCATTACAATGATTACAGTCTCCTCGGTGCATCATCATTCAACAGTATTTGCTTCTATTTCCTCTGTTTTGTTTTGTTGTTGTTAGGAGATGTACACAAAACCCCTCAGAAATATATAATCATTTAAACAACGAAAGGGCACATTCTGGAAGCCTACCTCCTGGATGTCAGCACATAGTCTTTCTCTTTCCATGAGTCTAGAATCCTCAGCTGCTCTATTTCTCCATGTCCTCATCTCTGCCTCTATCTCTGATGTAGCTGC